GCCGTCCTTCATTTTTAAAATCTTTTTTTCCCCCTCACTGTGTATTTTCAAATAGTGTGTCTTCAAGCTCACTGTTTCTTCTGCTAGATCAGTTCTGGTATTTAGAAACTCTGATATATTCTTCAATTGCATTTTTCAACTCCAGAATTTCTGCTTGATTCTTATTTCAATTTCTTTGTTAAGTTTATATGATAGAGTTCTGAATTTCTTCTCCGTGTTATTTTGAATTTGAATTTCCTCAAAACAGCTATTTTGAATTCTCTATCTGGATGTTCACATATCTCCGTTTCTCTAGAACTGGTCCCTGGTGTCTTGTTTAGTTCATTTGGTGACGTCATGTTTTCCTGGATGGTTTTGATGCTTGTTGATGTTCATCAGTATCTGGACATTGAATAGTTAGTATTATTGTAGTCTTTGCATTCTGGGCTTGTTTGTACCTGTCCTTCTTGGGAGGACTTTCATGGTATTCAAAAGTACTTGGGTGCTGTGATCTAAGCTGTATCTGCATTAGTGGACACCACAAGCCCAGTAATGCTATGGGTCTTGTAGACTCATAGAGATACCACCTTGGTGATCTTGAGAAAGATCCAGAAGAATTCTCCAGATTACCAAGCAGAAATTGTTTCTCTCTCCCGTTCTCCTCCCCGTTTCCTTCCCTCCCCTCTCCTCCCCTCTCCTCCCTCCCCTCATCCTTCTCCCCTTTCCTCCCCTCCCTCATCCTTCTCCCCTCCCCCCTCTCTCCCTCTCCCCTCTCATCCTCTCTTCCTCTCCCCCTCCCTCCTCTCCCTCCCTCCCACTCCTGAGCTATCTGGCATTAGGGGTATGGTGATACAAGCACCCATGGCCATTACCACTAGGACTGCACTGGGTCAGACTTGAAGCCAACACAGCCCTGGTTCTCACCCAAGGCCCACTGTAACCACTACCTGACTACCACCTGTGTTGTTGGCTCAAGGCCTTAGGGCTCTGCAATCAGCAGGTGGTAAAACCAGCTAGGCCTGTGTCCTCTTCAGGGCAGCATGTTCTCCTAGCCCCTAGGTGAGTCCAGAGAAGCTGTACAGAAGCCAGAACTGTAGTCAAAAACCTTAGAAGTCTACCTCAGGTATTCTATTCTACTGTGGCTGAGCTGGCCATCAAACCATGAGACACAGTCCTTCCTACTCTTCCCTCCACCTTCCACAGGCCCATGTGGAATACTGCCAGGCTACTGCTGATGTTCACTTAAAGCCCAAGGGCTCTTCAGTCACCTTGAAGTAAATGTTGCCAGGCCTTATTTCACCCTTCAGGGCACTGGGCTCCCCTCTGGCCCAGGGCATTGGGGCCCCTAAGATCCCACTTGATGTTCTACCCCACTGTGACTAAGCTGGTACCTAAGGCGTAAGACAAAGTTCTGTTTATTTTTCCCTCTGCTTTTCCCAAGCAGAAGGAGTCTCTCACCATAGCTGCCATAGCTGGGAATGTGGTGGGTCTCACCTGAAGTCAGCACATCTCAGAGTCTCACCCAAGGCCCACAGTATACTCCTTGGGGTCACTGCTGATTATTCATGGTGCAAGGACTCTTCAGTCAACAGGTGATAGATCCTTCCAGGACTGGGTCCTTCCCTTCAAGGCAGTGGGTTCCCTTCTCTCCCAGGGTGTACATCAAACTGTCTTCTAGAAGCTAGAGCCCGGAATGGGGGTCTCATGCCTCTGCCCAGTGCCCTGTCCTATCGTGGATGACCTGATATCCAAGATGCAAGACAGAGTCCTCCTTACTCTTCCCTCTCTTCTTTTCAAGCAGAAGGAAGGGGGCCTCCTTTGGAGCCACAAGCTATGCTACCCAGGGTTGGGGAGGGGTGGAACAAGCACCCCATTAGCTACCCCAGCTGGTGCCTCAGTACGTTGTACCCCCAAGTCCATTGGTTTTGAGCCCAGCTCAGCATCAGGACTTGCATTGCTTGTGGCCTAGACTGCCTTTCAAGTTTAGAGCCCCAGAGCACTTTAGTCCATGATGGTTAGGCTTACTGGAACTCAGATTCCAACCACTGCGATGAGAGATTCCCCATTTGCTATAGCTGGTCCAAATGCTCCCTCTGTTAGCAGGAGTTGGCTGTGTTTAGCCTAGTTTTCCTTCATGCTGTGACAGGGCAGCACTGAGTTAAATGCGAACTCTGATAATCTCTGCACTCTGTCTCTCTCTCAAGTGCACAGATTTCTCTGGACCATACAGCTGCTGGGGGATAGGGAAGAGGTGGCATTGGTGATTAAAGGCTGTCTTTCCTACCCTCTTCAGTTCCTCTTTCAACAATATGAAGTTAAAACCAGGTATTGTGAGTGCTCACCTGATTTTTGGTTCTTATGAAAGTCCTTTTTTTGTGTGTAGATAGTGGTTAAATCTGGTGTTCCTGCGGTGGGGGAGGATGATGGGTGGGCCTTCTGTTCCATCAACTTGTTCCACTCTTGTGTCTGAGAGCCTTCCTTTTCCTTCACTTTTGAAGTATAATTTCATAAGGTACAGAATTCTGGGTTAATGGAGTTTTCTCTCAACATTTAAATAATTTGCTTCAGTCTCTTCCTGTTTGTGTGGTTTCTGAGCAGAAGTGGAATGTAATTCTTATCTTTGTTCCTCTTTAAGGTATTTTTTTTCTCAGGCTTTTTTCACAATTTTCTCTGTATATTTTATTTTCTCTAGTTTGAAAATAAAATGCCTAGATGTCAGTTTTTTTGTCATTTGTTCTGTTTGGTGTTCCAAGGTTCCTGAACCTGTGATTTGATATAGATGACATTAATTTGGGGGAAATTCTCAGTCATATTATTTCAAGTATTTCTTCTGTTCTATTATCTATTCTTCTTCTTCTGGTATTCCCATTACACATATGTTACACCTTTTGTAGTTGTCTCATAGTCCTTGGATATTCTGTTCTGTTTTTAGTCTTTGTTCTCTTTGCTTTTCAGTTTGGGAGGTTTCTGTTTATATAACCCCAAGCTCAGATTTTTTTTTTTCCCTCAGCTTTGTTCAATCTACTAATAAGCTCATCAAAGGTTTTCTCATTTCTGTTACAGTGTTTTTGATCACAAGCATTCCTTTTTGGTTCTTAGGATTTCTATCTCACTGATTACTTTGCTGATCTGCTCTTGCCTGCTGTCTACTTTATCCACTAGAGCCCTTTCAGTAATTATCCTAATCATGATCAATTATCATAGTTATCTGAAATTCCCAGTCTGATAATTCCAACATTCCTGCTATGTCAAGTTCTAATGCTTGCTCTATCTCTTCAAATTGTATTTCCTGCCTTTTAGTGTGCCTTCTAATTTTTTCTTGAAAGCTGGACATGTGCCAGGTAAAAGGAACTACTATAAATAGGCCTTTAGTAATGCGGTGGTGAATTGTGGGGAGAGGAGAAGCATTATTTTATTTTATTATTTATTTATTTATTTAAGAGATGGTGTTTCACTCTGTCACCCAGGCTGGAGTGCAGTGGCATGATCATGGCTCACTACAGCCTTGACCTCCCCAGGCCCAAGTGATCCACACACCTCAGCCTCCAGAGTAGCTGGAACTGCAGGCATGTGTAACTATATCTGGCTAATTTTTTAATTTTTTGTAGAAATGGGGTCTCACTATGTTGCTCAGACTAGTCTCAAACTCCTGGATTCAAGCAATCCTCCCACCTTGGCCGCCAGAATGCTAGGATTACAGGTATCAGCCTCTGCACCTGGCTGGGAAGCATTCTTTAGTCCTATAATTAGATCGTGGTCTTTTAGTGGACTGTGAACGTTACAAGTGCTTCTCAGGTGTTTTTCTCCACCATTAGGTGGGACAGGATGGCTAGAGTAGACTGAATGTGAGTATTTCCCTTCTCCCAGATCAGTTAGGCTCTGACCACAGAAGGTCAGGCTGTGGTTAAGCAGTTTCTCTTGGGGGCAAGACTTGTTAAGAACAGATTACTCTGGCATGTTTTAAAGTATTTTGTTTTCTCTGCCCCCTGCAAGATACATAAAGAGATTTTGCTTCAATATTGACTGAATATCTAACCAAGCTCCTGGAGGCAAAACTCACAAAATTGTGGAGGCCCCTCTGTGACTGGGTTCTCCTGAGTCTTTTAACTCAGACTTGTCCACACTGAGCCTCCAGTGATTTGTCAGTTATGCTTCAGGTTTTCCTACTCTGGCACTGGTTCCCATGGTGGTTTCCACTTCTGAATCTCTGCTCTAGTACACTGTGACTCCCTGTCTTTGTCTGTCTGTCTCTCTAATCTTTGTGGCAGCAATATAGCCTTTTTCCGTGCCTCTCTTATAGGTCTAAGAAGAGTTAATGACTTTTCAGTGTGTTCAGCTTTTTACTTGTTAGGACAGAGTGGCAACTTCCAAGCTCCTTACATGCACAACTAGAAGCCAGAAGTTCTTTGTTAAATTAAAGAAGTTTGGCAGAGGGGTCAAGAGACCTGGGTCTACTCTTTTCCTCATCTTTAAAATGATGTGTCTATACAAGATAAGTAGTTTTTTAAACTGCATTTCTCAGAACCCTGGAAATTTCGTGGCATTGCCTCAAGGACTTCCAGGAATGTGAAGCTCCAAGCCTCCACCCACTCCTTGTTCAACCACAGCAGCTCAACTTTTATCTTTAATCTTTTCTTGTATATTAGACTTTTATACAATTTTATTTGAAATAGGGTTCTAGTTCCCCCTCTTCAGAAAAAGCTTATAAATCACAGAGATCACCACCTGCTTTCAAGCATTATGACTCTACAATATAAAACCTTGTCAGTTGTTGAAATCTTTTGCTGAGAGTATATGAAGAAGTAGAAGAGAGAAAAAATATGAGGGCACTGGGAATGAGTAACTGTACCCTACAGTGAGGAAGAAGATTGTTGAAATGATAGATTGAAGTCCTGAGTAAAAAACTTAACAATTTTGCATTTTCTTAGCTCAATTCTCAGGCACAAATAGTGTCCCTTTTTAGTTAGGTTTTGTAGTAAAGATTTGGAACAGTTGGAAAATATTCTTTTCTTTATTTTTAGAATGAAAGAAATGGATCGACTTTTGACTTGCCTGAATAGAGGTAAATAGCTCCCTGGTTATATTCAGTCCTTCTTCTTGCCTCTATTCTCTATTGAATTCTCTGAGTACACTGGGCACACTGACTTTAACCTTATGTTTGAGTTAAGCTTCATGCTTCTTATTAATGTTTGCTACAGGAGTCTATTTTGGTTTCTTCATTCACAAGCAGAGAAAAGTGTGTCATCATTAGCATTCATCTCCAAATGTGATTTCAGCTCTGTTTTAATTCCTATTTGTTTTAAGGACATCTCCTTCCCTCCCGTCCTCCTGCTCTTTTTTCCTTCCCTTTGTCCTTCCCCTTCCCTCCCTCCTTCCTTTCTCTCCCTTCCTCCTTTCTCTCCCTCTTTGTCCCTCCACCTTTCTTTTCTAGTAGCCACTTGATCCTAATCTAAGAAGTGAACAGGTGAAAAAGGATCAAGACAAATAAAAATACTCCGAACCCTGCTGGTTTTCCATACCCTCTGAAATCAAATTCAGATTGTATAGTCTCTTATTTTGAAGCTCTCCACCCAAGTCTGTACCATCTCCCTTATCTACTAATAATTTTTCCCTGTCCACTTTATTCAAGCTAATCTCCTAGCTGTATCGCATTTCTTTTTCCAACTACATGCCTTCTTACATGGCATCCCTTTTAACAGATCTCCCATTTTTACTGTCCATGTACCTCTTTCCTTATGTCCAAAACACACCAAAAAGTTCATATCTTAGAAATTCTATCCTGCTTATTCCAGTATTTCAATTTATATCTCAAATGCCTGTCAACAGGGTGTTAAACATAGCAAAGTGGTTTAGAAACCAAACCACTTCTTTTCAAAAGAAAAACTTTGCTGGATGTCATTCTTATTTCTCAGAAGGACATGGGGTATGTAATAAATGCTTTCTGATAATGATAGCATGTTCTGGTTCTGTCCTGAGCTTGCTGGCTCAGTAAATATTATGCCAGCATATTGATACTCTTCCAATTCTCAGTCTCTAGTTCAGTCTTTTAAACAATTGTTTCTATTCTTTATTTCCTCACATGTAAATCATATCTTTCCACCTCAGGTGGTGAATGATTGCACTAATTAAAATTATAAATCTCTCCAAAGACATGTTTGTTCCCCAGAGTTTGAATTAACAACTTCTTGGAACTTGGTAATGCTTTTTGTCATTTTAATTACTTTTGGTATGCACCCACACACATATACACAAAAAAGAACTTTCTAAATTCAAACTCCTGTGAGACTGTTCTTAAAGCAGGATTAAAGAACTTTGTTAGAGTATAAGATTAAACTCTCAGTATCAAATTTTCCTGTTTGATGCAGCCTTTGTGAAACTTTCTCAGCCTTATGGTGAAGAAGCCTTCAGTTTGGAGTCAAGAGCTAATGAAGCTCAGTGGTTTCGAAAAATGGGTAAGAGGAAATTCTGTGGCTATGGGAAACATTGTGGGGTGGGGGAATCAGTCAGATGTGATTTCAAAATCTGGATCTTTCATTTGTAACTCTGGGTACAGTGGTAACTTGCTTAATCTGTTTTATTACTTATAAAATGGAAATAATTATATATACTTCATATAGTTATTAAGGGTTTTAAATGAAACAGCATATGTACTTGGTATCATAGTAGATTCTCAATGGACATTAGTTGTCTTCCTTTTCTGTAGGAATGAGTCTAAGATTAAACTAATGAACAAACTGTAACTACAGGTCCCCAAGGTTATACTCCTAAACTTGGTTTGAAATACTTATTTATTTCTAAATGTGATTGACCAAAAATAAACTATATACAACAATATGGATGAATCACATAATGTTGAGCAAAAGAAGCCAGACATTGAAGAATACATATTGCATTGTTCATTTTATTTATAATTTTAAAAACAGGCAAAACTAATATATGGTGTTAGAAGTCAGGATAGTGGTTATCCTAGAAAAGGTGTTGGACTTGAAAGTTGTAGGAACTTCAGGGTTTCTGGTAGTGTTCAAGATCTTTCTTGATCTGTGTGCCAGATGCATGAATATTTCTACTTTGTGAAAATTCAGTAAGCTGTACAATTATGAGTTGTATAATACACTTTATAATGGCTCTATTTCAATAAACATGATTTTAAAACTTGTGGAGGCGGCCAGGCGCAGTGGTTCACGCCTGTGATCCCAGCACTTTGGGAGGCCAAGGCGGGTGGATCATGAGGTCAGGGGTTTGAGACCAGCCTGGCTAATATGGTGAAATCCCATCTCTACTAAAAATACAAAAATTAACCAGGCATGGTGGCATGCACCTGTAGTCCCAGCTACTCAGGAGGCTGAGGCAGAAGAATTGCTTAAACCCGGGAGGCAGGGGTTGCAGTGAGCTGAAATCATGCCACTGCACTCCAGCCTGGGCGACAGAGTGAGACTCCGTCTCAAAAAAAAAAAAAAAAAAAGAGCAAAAAAAACTTGTGGAGGCTATTACTACAGTAACAAGTAAGCATGAGGAATTAAGCAGCAGTGCCACAAAGTGGACTGATTCTACATGAACCTTTCCCTGCTTTATGAGGTTTAATAGGGCTTTAATCCTAGGAGAAAGGGAATGAATACAGAAATCTGACTTCTAAGAAATCTGACTTCTAAGAAACAAATAAAGAAAAATAACAAACATCTAAAATATAGACAAGTTGGATGACTTTACTCTTTTGAAGGTTTGAAAAGGTATGTTTTTTACTGCATTTTAATTTTGATTTTCCAAGGGGAACATGATGCTGACTGTTATCTGATGAGGGCTTCTACTGCTCTTTGGAAGATATGAATCTTTCCAGTAATTTTTCTCAACTCTTGATTCTAGTGTACCTTGTTCTTTGCTGAATTTTTACTTTAACCACTGCGAGTTGGTGAGCTCTATCCATGTTTATCTTCATTTTTCAGATAGATTCATGTCAACTAAGGGTTTTTTTTTTTTTGAGACAGTCTTGCTGCCCAGACTGGAGTGCAGTGGTGCCATCATAGTTCATTGTAACCTCAAATTCCTGGTGTCTAGCGATCCTCCCACTTCAGTCTCCTGAGAAGCTGGAGCTATAGGTGTGTGCCACCACACCTGGCTAGTTTTGTTTTGTTTCTTAATTTTCTTGTATAGATGGAGTCATGCTCTGTTGCCCAGGCTGGTCCTGAACTCCTGGCCTCAAACAATCCTCCTGCCTTGGTCTCCCAAAGTTCTGGGATTATAGGAATGAGACACCAAGTCTGGCCTCAACTAAGAATTCTTATTGTATGTCCTCAATTTAAAAAAAATTCACCAGTACCTCTCTTGGTCATTGGTCTAGTATTGAAGATTAGAATTGATAAGAGTCTCTAAATTTACCTGGAAAAAGTTTCTTTACAAACCTAAAGTTAATTTTGTACACCTTGAGTAACCCCTTACTAGTATGTTAATATCAAAGGTATAAATAGCAGAAATTATAGTGGTACAGACTAAATGGTAGATTTTCATATTATTGCATTATTTCATGTCAATTTCCAGCTTGGAACTTGGCTGTGCAATCTGACAAAGATCCAGTGATAATGAGAGAGTTTTTCATACTTTCTTATAAGGTAAGTTTCTTTTAATAAGTATCTCATGTATGGACCACAACAAGGCTATAAGCACTATGGCTATAGTAAAGGGCTAAATATAGACTGGGATTGTCTCTTAATCTAGGAATTTTTAATATATATATAAGCAGAAATGACCTAAGAATTTGTTTATATAGAGAGAGGGTGTGTGTGTATGTATGTGTGTGTATACACACACGCATAAACACACACACACATATACACACACACATACACACACATATATATTTGTGTGTATATATATATATACACAAATTATGTTATATAGGGTATAACATAAGAATGTGGGGCATATCTCTCTATACCAAAATATCAGAAACACCCATCAGGGAGCCTAAAGTTCTACCATTTAAGACTTATTTCTTTGCCTTTGAAGGGATTTCAGCCTCCCAAAGTCCTATATTAAAATGTAAATATCTATAGGAAGGGAATACTCTTAAGTAGTTGTTAATTACCAACATATTATGAAGACTTATGGGAATAAGTTTATAAGAATATAGAATAAGTATCTGGGGACAGCAGGGGCTGAAAAAGGAGATAAGAAGCTTAAGCCTCCTTTATAACTTTCCTAGAGCAGGTTCTGTGTGTAGTGATTTGTGAGTTTGTTACTTAATTCTAAGCATTTTTAAATAGTCGTTGGCCTCCAAGGTAGAGGTTAAATGCCAGAAAGAATACCAAGTATTGATAGGGGAATAAAAGAAAAAGGGCTAAAGAATAGTCTTCATACACATTCAGTAAACAGTATGATATGTTGAGATCAATTAAATGTTAAGAATTTTAGAGCTAGAAAGAACTATAAAGATTATCTACCACAACTCCTTCATCTCACATAAGAGTAATCTGAGACCTAAAGAGACTGGGTGTCTTAAAATGCTATTAATTTAATAACAGTAATGATTATGATCACTGAATGTTTCAGGAGATTAAGAAACAATCTTTGCAAGTTTAGACATAACTGCCATTTTAATTAAGTGAAATAAATTGGTTTTAGTTTTGGTATTTGTCATGGGATTTGTAGGATTGGCATGTAAGAATCCAAATGGCCTAGAGTTTTATTGTAGTAGCTGGGAGTTTTTCCTAAAACTAGGCAATGTTAATGATGAGGTCATGCCTAATGCCTGTCAATATCTGACAATGCCTCTTTCAACCATGACAATTTATGTACTAATTTTGGCTCTATTCAATACAAAGGGGGAAATCTATTTGCCAGGGAAAAAATCACTTAGAAATTGCAACATAAACCAAGAAGTAAATCACTAGATAGAAATACAAGGGCAAATGATACTACTTGTCACTGGAAAAGATAGTAAAACTGTGAAGAAATGAAGCTTTTTGTCTCTAGGAAGGTATTAAAAACAATGGAAAGAAATATAAAATTAAAAGCATAAATCAGCATTATAGTTTATATCATTTATGTGGTGACATGTGCTTTTCCAGCTGAATTTTCTCATTCAGACAGGAAGTTGCTGATTTTCATTCTGATTGTTTGCGTTCACCTGGCAGAATTCTCACTATTCATTGATGCTCTGGTTCCTTCTTATCAGATGTCCCAGCTTTGTCCTTCTGATAAAGTAATTCTGATTGCACGGAAAACATGTTTACTTATGGCAGTTGCAGTTGATCTAGAGCAAGGGAGAAAAGCACCAACGACTTTTGAACAGGTAATGTGCAACCTTCAAAGAAAAGACAAGAATTCAGTGTGCTATTTGATATGTTTGCCTTCCCTGATGCAGTTCTTGATTCTCTTTAGAGAATCCTTTTTTCCACTCCAGCAGCATCTTGATTTCAAAAGTTTGTAATGGCTAATTCCTTCGTAAGCAAAGGTTATTTTTGGTGTGGCCTCTTCTTTTAAGAAGATTAAGTATCTCCTCTTTTAAAATTCCCCTTCCTGAATTGCTTGAACCAGGGAGATGGACGTTGCAGTGAGCTGAGATCATACCACTACACTCCAGCCTGGGTGACAGAGTGAGACTCCATCTCAAAATAAAAATAAAAATAAATAAGTTTTTAAAAATTCCCCTTCCTATGGACCACTCTTTCCAAAAACGTTTTTAAATATTCTTTATCTTCATTGTCTGCCTGTGATTATATATGGGTGTGGACCCATTTTTGTTTCTTTTCACATCTTCTAAGGAAGAACTCATCTATTTCCATAGCTTTGATAGCCATCTGAAATTATTACTTATCTTGTTTCTCTTCTCTCGATTGTATTTGCTTTCTTTGTCTCACATCCTTAAATATCTCATTAACTTAATTTCTACAAGACAGAATTCCTTACATTTGCCTGAATTTCCCTATCAGGTTCTTAAATGTTATCCGTTTTAGAAGCTATCCAGATCACAGTCTCTCAAGCACCAGATTATTGATTTGCTTTTAGCTGTACCTTTCTTCTTTCAATCTAAGAAAATTATCTCCAAATCAGACCAGTAGCATTTTTGTATGATTTTTAAGATCTAGGTCTCTCTGCTTGGTTTATCTTACCTGGACAAAGAAAACTTCCTAATTTCCCATACTTGTCAGCTTCTGTCCTCTCCAAGTGATATAAACCCCTTGCTGTTTATTTTCTTCCTCCTATTAATCTCTTCTTTCATATTGTTCTTTGGATCTGGAACAAACTCTCACCAGATCTCTGCCAACTATTTTGCTTCTTTTTCCTTCCATTGTTTAGTTCAGCTCAAAAAACATTTGAGCACCAGACACCTTTCTAGGTACTGGGGATACAGAGATAAAGAAGCCAAAGTTCTTGTCTCTGAGGAGTAAAGGGGACCCTCTTTTAGGAAGTATTTTTATTTTAAAAGAAGGTGAGAAAAGACTCTACCTGCCCCAGAGCAAAACAAACAAAAATTCTATTTAACAGGCAAAGGTAAATGTAATTTAATTCTCAATAGGGACTTTTGCTTTACTAAAAAAAATAACATTTTATTTTTATATAGTACTTTTTAATTTCTAAAAGTTTTTCATTTTGCTTGGTAATCCTGAGTTTGTTTAATTTTTTATCTCAGTGAATGGAGATCAAATTGATGTGAAAGAACTTTCACAAACTCTTAAGTACAGTCATTATTTTGTTTGTTTCTAACTACTGTTCTTTTTTATTCTGTGTTCTTTCTTATGTACACCTCTGTGTTTCCTAAGAAGTCTCTAAACTAGTAACCCTTTTGTAATCTTCTTTGCTTTTGAAAGGATGTCTGTTTAGATAATTGAAGATGCACTTCTGCCTTTTATCATCTAAGTGATGAATCAGACCATGGTACTCTGTCTCTCTAAAGAATACTTGTTGATTTCTGTTGTATACATCTGCTCCCTGTTCTCTAAACCCTCATAAATGGGAATATTTCCAAATAAGTAGCTGATGAAGGAATATAGATGGACTGCACAGTTTAATCAACATTGCCTCTACCCTTCTGAGTATGAGTTAGGGGAAAGTGAGGGATAGGTAAAAACAGAGTAATTGTAATTTGTCAAGGAGCCACATCTTTTTCCTAGAGCAGGAGTGGGTAAACTATTGCCAACTGGCCAAATCAGGCCCCTGGCCTGATTTTATACAGCCTGAGAGCTAAGAATAATTTTTATATTTGTAAAGGGTTGTAGTTGAAAATAAATAAAAATATGTAAAAGAGAGTGTATATGGCTAGAAAAGCCTAAAATATTTACTGTCTGGCCTTCTATACAAAAAGTATTGTTTTTTAACAGACTTATTGAGGCATAATTCACATAACTTACAATTCACTCATTTACAATTTATTGGTTTTTAGAGTATTCTCAGAATTGTGCAACTATTGATGCAATCTAATTTTAGAACATTTTTATCACCCTAAAAAGAAACCCCTTACCCATTTGGCAGTCACTTCTCATAGCCTGCCACCAGCACTAAGCAACCATTTACTTTCTGTCTCTATAGATTTGCTTATTCTGGATATTTCATATAAATGTCATCATATAGTCTGCAGTCTTTTCTGACTAGCTCCTTTTTATAAATGCCTAAATAATGTTTTCAAGGTTCTTTGTGTCATAGCATGTATCAGTGTTTCATTTCTTTTTATGGCTGAATAATATTCCATTGTATAAATATATCACATTTTAAAAATCCATTCATCCATTGATGGACATTTGGGTTGTTTCCAGTTTTTGGCTATTATGAATAATGCTGTATGAACATTGATATACAAATTTTTGCATGGACATAAGTTTTCATTTCTTTAAATATGAGATATACCTAGGAGTGGTATTGCTGGGTCATATGGTAACTCTATATGTCATCATTTGAGGAATGCTGGAGTTTTTCAAAGCATCTGTACCATTTTCCATTCCCACCACGAATGAGGATTCTAATTTCTCCTTGCCACCACTTGTTGTTATATCTTTTTAATTGTAGCCGTCCTAGTGAGTATAAATTGATACCTCATTGTGGTTTTGATGTGCATTTCCGTGATGACTAATGATGTTGAGAATCTTTTCATGTGCTTATTGGTCATTTGTGTATCTTGTTTGGAAAATATCTATTGAAGTATTTTTGAATTTATTTATTTAGAGACAAGAGCCTTGCTCTGTCACCAAGGCTGGAGTTCAGTGGCACAATCTTGGCTCACTGCAACCTCTGCCTCCCAGATTTAAGCGATTCTCCTGCCTCTGTCTCCCAAGTAGGTGGGAATACAGGCACACGCCACTGTGCCCAGATAATTTTTGTATTTTTGTACAGATAGGGTTTTGCCATGTGTCCAGGTTGGTCTCGAACTTCTGACCTCAAGTGATCTGCCCACCTCGGCCTCCCAAAGTGCTTCATGCTCATTTTTAATTAGCCTATTTGTCTTTTTACCATTGAGTTGTAATAACTCTTTATATATTTTTTATACTATACTCTTATCAAATACATGATTTGCAATTATTTTCTCCTATTCTGTGGTTTGTCTTTTCATTTCTTGCTAGTGCCCTTTGAAATACATTTTTAATTTTGATGATATTCATTTTATTTTGTTACATCTAACACCATTTCCTAATCCAAAGTCATGAAGGTTTACCTCAGTGTTTTGTTCTAAGAGTTTTGTATTTTCAGCTTTTACATGTAAGTCTGTAATTAGTTAATTTTTGTGTATGGTGTAAGATAGGGGTCCGACTTCATTGTTTTGGATTTGACTGTTCATTTGTCCCAGTATTTGTTGAAGACTGTTTTTTTTTTTTTTCCCCATTGAATTATCTTGGCACCATTGTTGGAAATCACTTGACCATAAATGAGAAGGTTGATTCTCAATTCCGTTCCATTGACATCTATGTCTATCCTTAGGGCAATACCACATTGCTTTGATAATTACATAGTAAGCTTTATGTAGTAAGTTTTGAAATTTTGAAATACAAAGGTGTTAGTCCTCCCTGTTTGTTCTTCTTTTTAAAGGTTGTTTTGGCTCTTCTAGGTCCCTGGAATTTCCATTAAGACCAACTTGTTGATTTCTGCAAGAAAGCCAGCTGTGATTTTGATAGAGGTTGCATTGAAACTGTAGATCAGTTTAGGGAGAATATTAAAGCCTCTGATTCATTAACATGGAATATCTTTCCGTTTATTTAGGTCTTTAACTTCTTTCAACAATGTTTTGTAGTTTTCAGATTATAAATTTTACACTACTTTTTATAGTCTATTCAGATTTTGTGTTTCCTCTGGAGTCAGTTTTAGTAGTTTATCTTTCTAGAAATTTATCCATGACATCTAAGTGATCTAATTTGTTGGTTTACAGTTGTTCATAGTATTCCCTTAGAATCCTCTTTATTTTTGTAAGGTCAGTAGTGTTACCTCCTAATTTTAGTTATTTGTGTCTTCTCTCTTTTTGTTCTTAGTCAGTATAGACAAAGTTTACCAATTTTGTTGTTCTTTTCAAGAACCGACTTTTGATTTCATTTTTTCTATTGCATTTCTAGCCTCTGTTCCATTAATTCCCACTCAAATATTCCTTCTGCTTGCTTAAAGTTCAATTTGCTTTTGTTTTTACAGTTTCTTAAGGTAAAACCTTGGGGTTACTGATTTGAGATATTTCTTTTTTTTAAAAGATAAACTCATCGCTTCTCGTCCTTTTGGCTAAGATCAAGTAAAAGATAAACTTTTCCAGCTATAAATTTCCCTTTAAGAACTGCATCCCATAAATTTTGGTATGTTGTTTTTTTTTTTTTTTTTCATTCATCTCAAAGCATTTTCTAATTTTCATTGTGTTTTCTTATTTGACTCATTTATTTAGGAATCTGTTGTTTAATTGTTACATATTTGTGAATTTCCCAAATTGTTTTCTCTTGCTGATTTTTAATTTTATCCCACTGTGGTCAGAGTACATACTTTGTGACTTCAATTATTTTACATTTATTTGAAGTTTGTGTTATGGCCTAGCATGTGAGCTATCCTGGAGAAAGTGCCAGGCATGTGTGCTTGAGAAGAATGTACATTCTACTTGGGTTAGTGATATGTTTTATGGCTATTAGGTCTAATAGGTTGATAGTGTTGGTCAAGTGTTCTATATCCTTGATGGTTTCCTGCCTACTTATTCTATTCATTACTTAAAGTGAGCTATTGATGTCTCCAACTAATAAAAGTTGAATTATCTATTTCTTCAATTCTATCCATTTTTGCTTGATATTTTTGGGTCACTGTTGTTAGGTGCATATATGTTTGTAATTGCTGTATATT